GTCCGTTCATGATCTCACTGTCTGTCCTGCCACTGCCAAGGAGGCTATTCAAGAACTCTCTACTTGTTCTGTCTCAGTCAAGTGGTCTATCCATGTCTCTGCTCCGCCATGGCTACCTGATCTGCCTGCACCGCCATGGCCCCCGGATCAGCCTGCACCGCCATGGCCCCCCGCTCTGCCATTTTGTTTGTGTTTGTTTGGGCGTCTGGAGCCGCCCTTAGAGGGGGGGATATGTAATGTGGTGTTTGGGTTTTGTTTTTGTTTCATGTTCATGTTTTCCATGTCTTTTATTTTGTAATTGTTTCCTGCTGTTAGTGTCATGCTTCCCTTGCCTCATGTCTCTCCGCCTTGTGTATGTGTCATGCTCTCATTGGTTATTGTCTAGTCATGTGATTCCCTTGTCTGTCATGTTCTGATTGGTTGTCTCAGTCATGTGTCTTGTTTCCCATTGGTTTGTTCTTGTCTTGTGACCCTCTTGTTTGCTATAAGTAGCCATCATGTTCCCATTGTGCCTTGTCGTGTATTGATGTTGTAACCCGCTGTCGGTGAGTCTAGTCTGTTCATGCCTCGTCAAGTCTGTTCATGTCTAGTCAAGTCTGTTCATGCCTCGTCAAGTCAAGTCTGTGTATCTTGTTTGGATTATGTTTGGATTTTGGATTTCACCTTGTTTAAATAAAACTGCAGTTGGGTTCTCACTACGCTCGCCTTCAGTGGACTGATTCGTTGGTTACTATGAAGCAGCGCATTAGATTAGAACGGCGATTAACTTGTACAATAAGCTGTTTAAAACATGCATTCTCCTGTTCAATTTCGAGCATCCAGTTGGTATAATCACACGTTTTGTGGAGCGCTTTTGAAGTATGCATTTATTTGCATTTTAACTGTTTGGAAACGGAGCGTAAATGTGGACTTCAATGTATTCCTTTTAAAGTGACGTGACATGTGGCCAAGTATGGTGACCCATACTTGGAATTAGTTCTCTACATTTATCCCATCCAAAGTGCACACACACAGCAGTGAACACACACACACACCGTAAACACACACCCGGAGCAGTGGGCAGCCATTTTTTTGCTGCGCCGCCCGGGGAGCAGTTGGGGGTTCGGTGCCTTGCTCAAGGGCACCTCAGTCATGGTATTGAAGGTGGGAGAGCCCATCCTTAGTGCACACACACAGCAGTGAACACACACACACCGTGAACACACACCCGAAGCAGTGGGCAGCCATTTATGCTGCGGCGCCCGGGGAGCAGTTGGGGGTTCGGTGGCTTGCTCAAGGGCCCCTCAGTCGTGGTATTGAAGGTGGGAGAGAGCGCTGTACATTCCCTCCCCCCCACCTACAATCCCTGCCGGTACGAGACTCGAACCCGCAACCTTTAGGCCAACCATTAGGCCACGACTTCACGACTTTTACAGCAGTTCAATATAGCAGTTAAAATATTTCTTGTAAATCTCAACTTATAACATTAATGTAATCAAATTAAATATAAAACAAGCTATTTGCCACTGCCAGAGCATTAACGTTTTCATAGAAAATATTTTATAGATTGTTATAGAAAAACAAGTTATGCTCAGAGTCCAGAGCCTTGATCATAACATTATAACAGGCACCTTCCAAGTAGAGACCTGCCCGATCGCGGAACCCAACGCAGCAGAGTGTGGCGCGGGAAAACACTTGATGGGCGAGTGCAGGTGCGGGTGGAATGGGGGAGAATAAGGGTGTACTCACACTAGGCAATCTTAACCGTGCCCGAGCGCGTTTGACCCCCAAAGCCCGGTTCATTTGACTAGTGTGAGCGTTCCGTGCCACGGTCGGGCGCGGTTCATTTAGCCAGCCCTGGCTCGGTTGGAAGAGGTGGGCCAGAGCCCGGTTTAGTTATATATAGATCAGTGAGTGTGAGCGCTAACCGCGCCTGAGCGCGGAACTTATGATACGTGCAGCATGATTGTGTTCAACATTTCTGAGAAGCAAGAGTGATTGATCTATAAAGCAATATATTGTGAGAGGGCCATGTGTTACCGTGTCCCAAACGACTCAAAATAATAAACCACAAAGTTAAAAAAACGATGCACTCCACTGTTCTGAGAGAGAGCGCTTCTCTGCTGTCTTCACGTGCTATCGGAAACTTCCTTCCCACTTATGAAGTCGTAAGCGCTTCACGTGAGCGCTGCAGCAGTCTTAGGCCCACCCCAAATGCTCTCATTGATTGAGACGCGTGATGACGCATCCCAAGCCAGTAATGATCAACATCCCACCCCTCCTGTGACCCATGGTTTGTCTGTATGTGTATTCAGAGCCAGTGAGCAACAGACTTTCATAATAATAAAAAACTGCATTAACGAGCGATAAAATAATTGTCTGCGTTAATCAATTAATGCATTAACGCGACAATAACGCGTTAACTTGCCCAGCCCTAGTATAAAGCAATAAATGTTGAATCAGCTTGCCATAATCAGAGCTGTGGAGTGAGTAAAGCGCTGTAGGCTGCGGCCAGCTGAAGAACAGGAGTCTTCTGCTCCATCAATTCACGACTCACGGCTAAAATAAGACATGCAACACCTTTAAAAACAGATGTAATGTGATATACAATCTCCGTGATATTCCTATTGATTTTGAAAAACAATCCACTGATGCGATTTTGTGACAAAACCAGTAAAATCCCAAATGATCGAAAATAACACATTACAAATGAACCCATTTTAATGGTCTAAAACTTCCTACTTTTTATCCATACGTCTCATCTGGGTCACAACATTCTGATGAATCTTAGGAATTAATATAGGCCTACCTGTTAATCTTCTGTTTGGCTTTAGTCTCCGCGTAAAGATACTGGAATGCTGAAGTGGGTGGCGGAAGTAATTCGCAGGGAATTTTTCTGCTGGAAAATGATTAGGACTGCATAATGTCGGTTTTCTCCTAATGCTAGTTAGGCCTCAGCAACTGTGTGTTTCATGTGTGAAACAAATAAAAACGACGTTATCATGAAGTAGGCTACAGAGCTACGTATGTCGCCCTCTGATCGTTTAGTGTGGATGGGAAGAAGCCTTTTCCAAGGTATTCCTGGTTTCAGTACACTTTGCTATTGGGAGGGGGAAAATATTTTGCGCCTTAAATGGTATAATTACCGACAGATGTAATAAGTCCAAATACTGTAAAGCTTATGCGTCGTTGTCTTTAGACTGCGTTGCTTGATCGCCTCTTTCCTCTGATCGTTTAGTGTGGATGGGAAGAAGCCTTTTCCAAGGTATTCCTGGTTTCAGTACACTTTGCTATTGGGAGGGGGAAAATATTTTGCGCCTTAAATGGTATAATTACCGACAGATGTAATAAGTCCAAATACTGTAAAGCTTATGCGTCGTTGTCTTTAGACTGCGTTGCTTGATCGCCTCTTTCCTCCCGAGTGTTGTCTTCCTCCGCCTTCTCGTTCTGGTCTCTTCGATTTGACCGTCGCTCCTCGTCCAAGAAATGACCAGTTCAATACAACGCGAGGCACCCCGTGGCCCTTTAAAGAATTTAAAATGAAGTAACCAAATTCGACTTGGCTATCTCTCCGGAGGAGCATACCCATCCATCAGTTCAAATGTGACTGTGCCAGCATAGGAGGCGGGGTGAATTCAACATAAACAACAGTACAGTTGTTTTCTAAATAATTCATATAATGTGCACTCACTCTGCTGTCAATTCAGTCCCATATGAAATCATTCGGTCTGCACCAGAAACACGTAGCATCACATATGCGCGATTCAACCACACCCATTTTATTGCGAATGTACCACTGCAGCGCAGACCTCCACCGCCAAACAGCGGCTCAGGGGGTTGAACAGCACCTCACACTGGAACACACTCGAGTTTAGGCCGCTAAAGCTAATATCAGTTCTGTGGTGAAATGTGGAGGCGAGAATAAGTAGATCTCAGTTTAAACGTGTGTGGGAAATGACAAATAAAGGAAGTGGAGAAAATGGTGACATTCTACAGAATTCCCCCTGTGGCTCAATGACCACATGAATGCGCTCCTGAGCGGAGTGTTGCCAGATCGCGCAAGAAAGCCCAAAATAGGCGACGTCCCCTAAGAAACATAGCGCAGCTGAGAAAGGAGAACAAACTATAATAATGAATATAGCGATAGAGGGCGTGGCTCCAACAGTAGGTGTGGTTATTTGGAGCCATTAGTTGGTCACAGTTTGTCTTTTTATTCCAGTTTTACTACTAAATTAATTAGGCTATAATTACTCACTAGTATGTTCTTTAGTAACTTTTAACTATTTAAATAGTTACTAGTTTCGATTCTAGTTTTACCTGGTACTAACTGAACAGACACTATAGTACTCATTATAAACATTATGATTGTGTTTTGGAGGCCAAGCACCAACAATAAAATAAATATTCTACTCTGTGTGTGTGTGTGTGTGTGTGTGTGTGTGTGTGTGTGCGTGTGTGAAACTAGCCATATATTGAAAAAACTAAAACAAACGATTATAATAGGCGGACATGGCAACACCGTCTGGCTGTATTCACATTATGCCTGAATTCAAACGATTGCGTAGTTTACTAATATGTATACATTTTCATGTATTAATCGTTTGTTCTTGTTGAACATATTTAATGAATCGTTTGTTCTTGTTGAACATATTTAATTATAACATTTTTTCCAGTGTTTTTCAAAACATTTATAAAAATACCAAACATCTATTATTATCCAGACAAGTTCACCGACCTCACACTTTCTCAGATTACTTAGAGCTGTAATTAAAATTCCCTTGTAAGGGCACTCAGTAATGCAATGCACACTTTCTCTCTAGAGACATAAACTGCCACCCACCGGAGACACTCCTAATTACACCTGCCATAATTACAAGTTGAGAGGAGGGGCAGACAGATTATACTTTGTACTACTGTGCGCTTGCTGATGGGCCCATATTAAAATTTATGACAAACTGGATTGTCTATGCTATACTACTGTGAATGAATATCAAACAGTGATTTATTTATTTATTTTTAAATTTATTTCTACAACTATGCACCTTTAGACTGGCCCACACATTATGAGCAGCAAAATATGGTTAATCACATAGACCGTATAAAAACATGGACGTAGTGGCCGTGACGTCACCCGTATATTTCCGAAGAGCGTTTTTGAAGCTCAAAAGTGGGCGGAGCCGGCCGTCGCCATCTTGGCGCGTCACTCCCGGATAATCGAAAATGGGCAAAGAGGCGGGAGCAAGTTGGTGAAGCCACGCCCACCTATGACTCCCTTTTGGAGCCAGCCTCTAGCGGCCAGTTGACGAATTACAGTTTAAGTCCCTTCCTTGTTGGCTTCACGAGAGAGAGCGGGAGGTTGCCGCTTGGTTTATCATCAGTATGTATCCCCCCTCACGAAATGTAGTGATGGTACATTCCACCTGCCCTACTCCCTATAAGGGACTGTAGTATAGCTGTGGATGGGCTGCCTAGCAACACCATTTTCACAGACCCATGCATGCAAGCAGTATGTGATTTGATGGACATGAACTGTTCTGCATTAATTCTCCACACATATATTCATAGCCACTTAGGTAGGTCACATAGTATCTTATCCAGTCTACGATGTAGTTAACTTAATGATTATAAGCAACAAAATGTATAGAAATGTATTTAAAAGCTTTAAACATGCTTCCCTTCTGGCAGCAGGTGAGATGGACAGAATGAACGGACGGACGGGTGAAGAACACGAGGAGTGCAATGTGATCACACTCCTCTCCACATGGGCTAAACAGCGCTCAGATTCACAGACACCAGAGAAAGGGAGTTTCACAGTCAGACCGACCAGATTTTGGTGCAACAACACTGGGCCTAAAATAAATAGAGTTTGTGTTTTCCGTTTGTCAACCTCTTGAGTGCGCTATTGCTCTTTCTTACAGCATGTTGAGGAAAAGAAAAAACAATTGCTGTCCAAATTTTGCCATTATTTGAACTAAGGCCACATTATAAATCAAAGAATGTGTTAAATATGTAAATGCTGATGAAAAATTTGTTAATCGTTCATTTCCAGCAATGATTAAAAAATATTGTGCAAAAAATGGACAGTATTCTCTGTTGTTTGATCTTTCATCCAACTAAAACTGGAATGAAGGAGCAGTGATTAACCTAGTGTTCTGCTGCAAGGTCCCTCTAATGTTTAACCCTGTTGTGTGTATAATCAAACAACCTCTCCTACTGCAAAGGTCATAGGAAAACAACAGTTTCATATATAAAGCAAGTTTGTAAATCTAAACCTGTGTCATAATTTATGCAACACACCTGTTCTTGATTTGAGGTTTTAGAGATTACCATGCTTTGGACAGGCAGTTGGGAAATGTTTTTTCCAATGTACTCTTTTTTTATTGCTTGCAGATACATACTCAGAAGAAAGTGGAAATACTCTTGTACTTTGTCTCAATGACGATTCTTCTCTGACTCCCTGTATTAAGGAGACCACATCACAGAACATTGTGCATCTCAGTAACAATTATATTAAATTTTTGTTTCAATTTCTAGGCCTGTATAAAGGACATTCATTCTTGTATGGATCAATTTTCATACTTAACAATTCATTTTTTAAAAATCGACATATAATGTAAATAAACTACTATACTACTTAATTCACAATGAGTGGCTCTCAGATCGAAAACTCAAAATCCCAGGTTGCTTTTGACGTCATCATCCTTCGACACTGACAGTGACGACAACAGAACGCGACAGACTGACAAAACACTTTGGGGTTTCTGTTCTTTTAACGTTGCAACCAGGTAGTATTATTGAAGTACTACACTAGTGATGGACGTGAGGCCGTAAACTATTCTATTCTAGTTCTCAGTTAAGACAGCAACCCAGACCGCCTCTACTTGAGCTCTGCAATCACGTATGCAACATTAACATTACATCTCAGTGAAATACTGCCGTGGATCGTAACCATGACTTTGAGCATGGACATCAGCGTTTCTTTTCTCAAGTGCGAACTCGCCTCTACTATCGACCAGGCGGTAAGATGCGCGGTCGAAACGGTTTTAAAAGAAACAGCGCGAGTTGTTGGCATAAAGCTGGCCGCTGCTCGTAATGCAGCCGCAGAGTCGCACCGAGAGAGCCAGACCCTGCGCGAGAGACTGGAGATCTCCGAGAGCGAGCTGAAAGCAGTGCGCTACTACATGACCGCGGCTGAAAAGAACATCAAACAGTGTTTACTTCTCAACAGAACCCAGCCCGGCTCAAATATCGTGCACCCAAACGCAGACGACGCACTTTTTGTGATTCCGTCACGCGCTGCGGATGGAAGCCCCACAGCACAGGCGCAGAGCAGAGATCCAGCCCGCAAGAGCTTCCGAAACTCGCCGGGAAGAATCCACAGTCCTAAAAATATCCCTAGTGTTGGCCTCTGTCTTCCCACGATACAGTCAGACTGGCCTCGTGCGTGTGTCAACCGCAGAAAGGCAAGAGGGTCTGCAGCAGGCAACAGTTTAGCCCTCACCAGTGTCCCCGCGACCTCACAAACTCTTGTGGAAAACAGTCCTGCTCTCTTCAAACCAGAAGATGAGCCAGAAGGCCCGTTTTACTTAACGAATGAGGGTGAAAAAGGTTAATTGTTATTATTTTTACCATTTGCGAGTAGAATACTGCCAAACAACCATAGAGTATTAGCCATAGATGTTTATTAATCTCGTGAAGTCTGACATAATAGTAAGAAAAAAATTAATTTGAAAAGGAAGAGTTTTTTTACTTTTAGACTATATATATAATATATATCATTTGTGTATGTGTTTTATGTTTTGAAAATCTGCAATTTGATGCAGATGTCGTTATTTATATGAAATTCTGATAGCTTGTACTGTAAATCAATAGGACTTTTATAACAGTATAACAGACTGCTAGCATATAAATATCAGTTGTCACTCGATCGTTTTTATGATCAAAGCTCTGCAGTTTTAATTATGGAGGACAAAACATAATGCAATGCAATGATGATTGAGAGATGAACAAATAAACATTCCTCAAAAGCCTCAAAAAGTTAATTTAACATGGAAAAAAAAAAGATTAAAAAAGATCTATGCAAGCTTAAGTTCAGTAAATATTTATCTTGAAATATTGCTAACAATATGAAAGTTATTCTTAGTTTTCATTTCACAGCAAGATTTCGAAGCAAAACAATGTGTACCACAATCTGAAGGGGGGCTTTTAAAAACATAAAAGGCATTTTACATACTAAATATATATAAACATGAGCTTTTCTTTGTTTTACAGACAACAATTCTGCAGTAACAGACAGTGAGAGGAGACATGAGGAACCAGAAAATTCAGGCCCCTCCGCAAACCCACCTGAGGATCCATCTGACATGACAAAGTTTGAGTTTGAAATGAGCACACCTGCTGGAAATGTTAATGAGCTGGAGCTGATACAGGTGATGGAGGACTCTGATGATGTCAAACAGGGCACCATTAAAATTGAAGACGATCCTGATTCACTTACATTAGAGCCTCCTTCATCAAATATAGCTGTAGCATCTTCATCCAAATGCATGCAAGAGTTACCGCAGATCTCCTCGCCTTCAATGCGGGAGAGTGATGGCGATGCTTTGCTGGCCTTGGCGCCACCTGTTAGTAGTGACTCTGGGTTCAGCAGGACTATCGAGAGCCCTGATAAAGTGCACCGCTGCAACATTTGTGGCCGAGGGTTCAGACGTTTCTACTGCTTGAAAACGCACCAGCGCATACACACAGGAGAGCGCCCGTATCCTTGCAGATACTGCGAGAAACGCTTCCGCCATTTGGACAGCTTACACAAGCACCAGCGCATTCACACGGGAGAGAGACCGTACCGCTGTGCTGAGTGCGGATGCTGCTTCAGAGAACTTGGTCAACTCAAAAAGCACAGACTCAAACACTCGCCCACATTTGTTTCTGTTGCCAATCCCACCTTCCCTCTCCTTCCAGCCGGACCCTCCTATGTCTGGCCACATCTCAACACACAGTCTTTGGATTCAGTCTAAGCATGTGATGGTATTTTCAAAGCATGGTAATTGTGGAAACTTGGTATACGGTATTACAGCAGTATTGAACTATGTTACAAAAACAGATTGAAAAGATAAACTCGTCCTCTTAATAACAAATGGAATAACTCTTCAAATCAGGGACATTAAAATACAATAAAACAACACAATTCAAATGTATAAAGTAAACAAATGTTTCAAACATGAAAGTGCTAAAGAACACAACTATAAGGAACAATAATAAAGAATTAAAACATGTTTTAATCCAGATTAAAATGTGCAAGTGTAAACAAATGTTTTTTATATAATGCTTAGTATTAAATACTCAATATTTGGTGTTGTTTTATAAATACCATGGCAAATACAAAAATCTGAATGGTTGTTTTGAAAACATTTAAATACTGTTTGATTTCCTTCAGTTCAGAAACAGAAATTTGCATAGCACTGCTTTGTGTACTGGGGTAACCGCTGTGTTTCTGCTTTTCTGCAAGTGCCACCTACTGTCAGAGAGTGAATTTGCATTTCCACTCAGTCTGTCTGCTGCTTTTTTCAGAACTTCAGACCAAAGTGAAAATCAAACAGATTTTTATGCAGAATACACGCAATGTCATCAATTTTAACTGGTTGATGGAAAATAAAATAATGTGCAGGCTAAAAGTCTCAATTCAGAAAATAAGTTACCCAGAATTATTCACTGTATTTTGAAGTCTGGATGATTACAATACTGTGCGTTCATTACCGCAATTTACTGTGTTACCAAATACCAGCGCATCTCTAAGTCAGTCAAAGGCCTAGTGAAGAAAAGATGGATACATTTTATGAGGATATATGTTGTGGCACAAAACACACCTCAGATAAAGTTTGTTCAGTGACAGTTTGGTATAAAAACAATTGAAGGTATACTGGAAGATATATATTTGCCTGATTGTGTGAACAGTTTGTCCATTGCACAAAAAAAATCATTGCATTTCATTTAGATCCATATGTACAAAATACCTCATCGGCAGTGCAGCATAACCATAAGTAGTTTTTATGCAAAAAACAACTTTAAACATTTAAATGGGTTCCAGATATGATTAAACTTTCACAATAAGGTATTTTCTGGTATTGAGAATTGATTTCACTCACTCTGATTATCATACAAAAAATATGCATCCGGCATAAATCAGAGCTGAAACTAATTATTTGTATACTTGGTATAAATGCAGCACTTGAGATTTTTAAATGCATTATTTTAAAACTATGGCCTGACAAATAAAGGCAGAAAGTACCACACCCATGTTAAGATAAAAAAAATATATAAAAATGTATGTGTACATTTTTTACTAGTATGGAACTACAGGGGGAATCGTTACAATAGTTTAGTAGTACTAAAAAGTGCTCCTTTTTTGCAGTTGAAGTTCATAGTGTAGTTACTGCAACCTAAAATTAAGAAATGGGTATGTGTGGTAGGCTACTTGGTTTGATATCAGATAAAATGTTTGGCTGGTCAAACATCTAGGTAAACTCTGCAGGACACCGGCCCTCCAGGACCAAGTTTGGACAGCCCTGATCTAGGTGTTTGAACAACAATCAAATAGTAAACAACACGGTTCTCTCATGTTCAACTCAAAATCGTCTTCCACTTGTGATATTTCAGCCGTCCTCTCTGTGAAGTCACATGGGCGCTTCATCTGTCCCGTGACTTTTGTTTAAACAAATTGAGAGGCAGGCGGTACAGTCCCAGCCGTGCGCGATCATAATCTCTCGGTGGACCGTTACATAATAGATTTATGTTTTCATTAGGTCTTGCTGTTTGTTGTTCATAGTCAGGTCCACGGGGCACACGACGACTGCGCGCTCTTTGCCATCCTTCATGTCCCGGGGCCGGGGGGTTGATCACGAGATCTGAGGCTGCAACGAAAACTTTCGAAAGCAACTCGACAAGATGCTCTGATGAAACATATCGGTTTCAGGACATCATGCGTGCACATTGTAAAAACGAGTAGTTTTGTTTACTTGTGGTTTGTGTTGTTTCTCCCTAAAAGCGGAAGTTATACCGCTTTTAGATTGGCGTCGCCGCAGTTGTTCATAAGAACAGGTAGGTCATGTTTGCCTTACTGTACTTCACCGTTACTTGTGTCTTTAAAACCTTACACGCCCAAGCATCCGTGACTACTTGAGGTGGCGGTCTCATTTAGAAATGCCAGCTGCCTTTTGTCAGCTGTCTGCTAATTTATTCAAACAATTAATCGGATGCTGTTTTAGCAGAGAGGTATTTTAATAGTTACATTATTATCTTTACTTACATAAGACCGTAATACAATTGTTTTTCAACCGCGTACGTCGGATTGTTTACATGGTCATGTACGTTACTTCCGCTACTTGAAAGGTCCAACATTTGTTTTAAAAAACGCGGTTCAAAAGGCGATCACGATCAGTGGGACATTCAAGGTCTTGCAGCCTCAGGCTTTCCATGGTCATGGACATTTCGATGAAATGGAAAATTGTGATTTACAGGCCTGAAAAAAGTAATTGAAATTAACAGTATACTAAATCATTGACATTTATGGTGACTAGCTATAGCTCTAAATCCATCGATGTTTTTGAAAGAAAAAAAACTTGTATAACTAAATAGTCCAATTATCATCAAGAGTGACTGTTTTTGTTAAATCATTTTAATTATGCTTTTTTCTTTTTTTACTTTTTAAAATAATTACTATATTACAACAACAAAAATGTCAATGTTTTGAAAGGTCTTTTTTGCTCACCAAGGCTGCATTTATTTGATCAAACATACAGTACAAACAGTAATATTGTGAAATATGATTACAATTTAAAATAAACCGTTTTCTATTTTTAATATATTGTAAAATGTATTTTATTCCTGTGATGGCAAAGCTGAATTTTCAGCATCATTACTCCAGTCTTCAGTGTCACATGATCCTTCAGTAATCATTCTAATAAAATAATTTGCTGCTTGAGAAACATTTCTCATAATTAACATTAACGTAATTAACAGTTGTTTTGTTACATTTTCTCTCAGGATTCTTTGATGGATGGAATGTTCAAAAGAACAGCATTTATTTGAAATAGAAATGCTTTGGAACGGTGTAAAAGGTGCATCCTTGAGGAATGAAAATATTGGGCCTAACTTCTTTAAAAAAACAACAACAAAAAAACTTTACTGATCCCAAATGTGCAATAGTGTACATTATGAATGTTTGAGTAATAATAATAGCTTGCTCAGCAGCTCAAAATCATGACAAATGTTTGTATGTACTACTAACCAGGAAACACTCAAAAGGTTTCTTATTGCAGGTTCCTCTTTTCAGACCATGGCAAATGAGCACTCGCCTCTTCTTGTTCACAGGGTGTACAGCATGATGGGTGATGCTGAAGATTCCAGGGGTGGATCAGCAGTGACAGGAGAGGCATCCCCCAAATCAAACCCCCGCAAACTCAACGCCGCCTTTGGCGTCATGGTGCCCACCATCCTCTCCATGTTCAGTATTGTGCTCTTTCTTCGCACAGGTGCGTAAGAGATGGGAAAAGACAGAAGTTGATGACCAGAGACTTAATAAAACATTTTCACTATGGCCAAGTGTGTGATCCTAGAAGTATTTTTGTGCATAACTGATTCTAATACAGTATATGTCGATTTTGCAGGTTTTGTAGTGGGTCATGCCGGTCTTCTCCATGGTCTCCTCATGCTGTGTGTGGCCTACTTCATCATCTCGTTGACAATCCTGTCTATATGTGCTATTTCAACTAATGGAGCAGTGGAAGGGGGCGGGGCCTACTGTATCCTTAACCAATCTCTGTGCCATATAGAGTGCTAGAATTGCAGACTCCCTCATATATGAATCTGTTGTTCATGAGTGTTTGTGTATTTTTGTTGACCTTTAACTCTTTAGTCTTAGTCATGATCAGTCGTTCTCTGGGACCAGAGTTTGGAGGCAGTATTGGCCTGATGTTTTACTTGGCGAAGGTATGTGCGTGTGGCGTTTATGTACTCGGCCTGGTGGAGGCCATACTGGACATCTTTGGGAAGGATCCAGGTGAGCGGTGCATTGAATCACGCTGTACTAAACATTCTTTGAAGCAATTAAACGCGTATGGCTTGTTTTTTTTTTCACATTGAAGCCTCTCTGTTCTTCTCTCTCTAGGCTCTGCTGTGTCACAGGGGCTGCGTGTGTTGCCGCAGGGTTACTGGTACACCGTGTTGTACTCCTCTCTAGTTCTGTTGCTATGTCTGGTGGTGTGTCTGGTTGGTGCTCACATCTACGCCAAAGCCTCTTTTATCATTCTGCTGGTGGTGACGATGTCACTGATCTCTATCATCATCAGCCCCCTGATACTCAGTCCACAACGCTTCAACATCACACACACATACGGCAACAACCACACCGTCACTGTCAACCCCAGCTACACAGGATTCAACGGCACTACATTAAAAAACAACCTTGGACGTGAGTAAGATGATCATTAATGCAATAATGATAGTGACGGTTGTGATGATGATCAGTGAGGCTATTTAGCAGTTATATTTCAAAATACGTAAAAGAGAAATGATCACGATTGTCTTGTGTGTTAGATTAAACATTCAGTATAAAAAGGTATATTGGGCAGTGAAATATACAAATTATTAGATATTTATACTTAAGTAATGACATTTTGAAAAAAAGAAAACAAAAAAAGGATATTCCTCAAAGGAACATTTTGATTTACTGGTAAAAGGAATTTATAATGAGTTTTTCCTATACAGTATATTCTATGCATGTACACTACCATTCAATAGTTTGGGGTCAGTAAGAATTTCTTTTAAAGAAATTAATGCTATTATTCAACAAGGACACACTGAATCGATCTAAAGTGACAGTAAAGACTTTTACGTTGTTGTAATCTGTTTCAAATAAATGCTGTTCTTTTGAACTTTCTATTCATCAAACAATCCTGAAGAAAATGTGTAACAATATCCAGACAGACATTAAAGGGTTAGTTGACCCAAAAATGAAAATTAGCCCATAAATTACTCACCCTCAAGTCATCCTAGGTGTATATGACTTTCTTCTTTCAGACGAATCCAGTCGGAGTTATATTAAACATTGTCTTTGATCTTTCAAGCTGTTTAATGCCACTCAGTGGGTGTTGCATGCATCAGTCCAAAAGAAGTTAAATAAAAAGCGCCCATCCATTAAAAAAAAGTGTCTCACACGGCTCCGGGCGGTGAACAAAGGTCTCCTGAAAACCAACGTTTGTTTACAGGCGCAAAGGAAGCAAAGTTTCCTTACTTTAGCAAAGGAAAACCAGTCTCCTCTTGGTGTGAGACACTTTTTTTTATGGATGGGTGCTTTTTATTTAACTTCTTTTGGACTGATGCATGCAACACCCACTGACTGGCATTAAACAGCTTGAAAGATCAAAGACAATGTTTAATATAACTCCGACTGGATTCGTCTGAAAGAAGAAAGTCATATACACCTAGGATGACTTGAGGGTGAGTAATTTATGGGCTAATTTTCATTTTTGGATGAACTAACCCTTTAAGCAGCACAACTGTTTTCAACATTGATAATAATGAGAAATAATGTTTCTTGAGCAACAAATCAGTTAATTCGAGTGATTTCTGAAGGATCCTGTGACACTGAAGACTGGAGTAATGATGCTGAAAATTCAGCTTTGCATCACAGGAATAAATTACATGTTATATATTCAAATAGAAAACAGTTTTTTTCAGTTGTAGTTTTTTCTGATTTTCTGACCTCACATATTTGAACAGTAGTATGTGTATATCATTTATAATAATAATTATTTATAGTTAGAATAATTAATACACTTATAATTTATGCATTTAGCAGATGCTTTTATCCAAAGCGACTTACAGTGCATTCAGGCTACACATTTTTTTACCAGTATGTGTATATATAGTATTATTTTAATGGCAACTAATGAGACTCAATTAATAACTAATGAAACTAATTTCTCAAATCAACATTTTACACAGACAAAAGTTGATTTTGGCACTCACAAAAATAAAGAGCTAATGACTTAATCGGCAAAAGAGACATGGCTACCAGTTGATTATCAGTCTGGTCCATATATCAATCTGTCAAGAATTTGATTTCATATGTATTCAAATATAAAATTCTTTATACAAATATTTGCCGTGCACTATTTTACTGCCAATTTCTGGTAAACACAATTCAAATTGTTAGAGATATAAATGGCATAGATGATAAACGTTTAGGATGAAAAATGTCTCCTTTAATTAAAGTTATTAAATTAAGAGATATTTATAAATAATATAACAGAGATAAGCAACCAATGTAGACTGATGCACAGAGACCAACAGCAGAATCAGGAAGTTATCTTTGACCCATGTACAAACATATTGGCAGCAGCTTTACCATTCATTTTCATGGTGGTGATATTATTGTGGTGTGGTACATATGGAGAAAATGAAGTTTTTCCACTAAAAGTATTCATATCAGATAGAACCTAATGCAGATATATTTAAATGTTCTATCTGTGATTTTGTTGATATTTAGAAAAAATATTTCAATTACACTATGATTCTGATGTTCTGTAGCCTTGCAATGTCGGTCATATAGTGCTGTATGGATTATATGCAATAAGTGTTTGGGATGGCACGGATGGTGCTGTTTTAATCATAAACACACCATAGTTTGTACTTTATGGATGTAGATTATGGATGACCTTGAATGCAGCCAGATATAACAGCTTCTGTATTGCAGTCATTCATCAGGGACATAAAACTGTTCCTTTAATTTATATAATTACTGCACTGGCATGAATTTTGTCCAAATGTCTCCTCCTGTAGCGCAGTACTCTCTGGACTACAGTACCAACACAATGATGTCTTTCGCCACTGTATTTGCTGTGATGTTCACCAGCTGCACAGGCATCATGGCAGGAGCCAACATGTCGGGTACAAAACTGGACAACCACTGACACCATTCACACGCTTCCTTTATTTGCACACTTCCTTTACTTTTTAGTTGTCAATGTAATTGTGTTGACTTTTACAATATTGAGAACACTTGTATAATGGATGAGTGTCATAAACATGTCATTTGATTTGTCTCACTTTCTCAGGTGAGCTGAAGAACCCCAGTGAGTCAATACCTAAAGGGACCATCATTGCAGTGTCATACACCTTCACTGTTTATGTGCTTCTCTTCCTGCTCCTGAGCTCTACCTGTGACAGGTGCCGCTTACGACACTCAAGCCACATGGAAAAACGTGAAAATTTACATAATGCTTTGTTTTCCCTCTTATTCATCTCTCCCTTATGCTTTCTGTCATTTCCTGGTCTCTCTCTCAGGTTGTTGTTAATCAATGATTACGCAGTGTTTCAGCGGGTGAGTGTGTGGCCTCCATTCGTGACGATTGGGGTGTACTGCGCGTCTCTCTCAGCTGCTATGTGCTCCATGATAGGAGCTTCTCGAATCCTCCATGCGCTTGCTCTAGACCAGCTTTTTGGTTAGTGTGCGTTTGTGGGTTTGATTTGTTTAAAGGACGTATTTCAGGCTAGAAACTTATACTGAGATGTTTAGATGTGTTAGGGCGGTTGACATCTCCACAAGAAGTGTTATGGGAAAACATTAGTGAGCAGTACTTGGAAAGCAGTATTCATGGTTTCTAAGGAAAATATGCTTAGCGAATATTTTTCAGTGTAACTTTTTTTTTGTCACATTTTATAGGTTGTTATATGGTGTGAGAGCTCATATATTCTGTGTGAAAAGGTAAAAAAAAAAGGACATTTTATCTAAAAGAATCATAACGAATATTTCCTCTGAACATTTTCTACTCAAATCAGTTAACTGACGAGGCATAATCAAAACTAAACAAGCTATTCTTTTTAAAAATTGTATTTAATTGAATTTATTGAAAATTTAAAGTTTGCTCTCAAATTGTATAAACAAATCAGTCACAGGAATCACAGAAAATGATTGATGATGGATTACACAATTTATTATGGAAATGTTACGTAGAACAACTTTTTTAAAAATCCAGGAATATAGAAGAAAACAATAGGAATCTATTTGTTATAATGTGGTTTATTTATTGTGGCTCATTAAACATTTAAAATCATTATAAGGTTTAATGTCACACCATTTATTGTAGTGCTAGGTCAGTGGCCTGATTAAAATCCTACCACATGGCAGGTTTGGCAACAATGCTTATAATGTACCTGTGGCAACGTTTTTACATAGTTGCTGAATGGTGTTGCACCACCACATTTAAAAAGGAAACAGTAAAAAGACATTAGCCCAGCAGAGATTTGATCTGTTCTGTCTGGTTGAACAAAGGTTCACTAAAAACAAGTTCATGTATTTGGCTGGTCACAGCATGGCATACAAACAAGAGCCATACAAGCAATATAGTTTCACACCATATAGTATTTTAACCACAGCTTACCACTGTGTGTAGGATCTGTTTTCTTGGTTTTACTCTGATCAGAAGAGTAAAAACACCACTTTTATGATTTAAATGTTTACATCAGTTCTTAGTAGAAATGTTTTGCGTTACTTACTAAAATTCCAGGATACTTTACAAAGGCACTATTTGATAATCAATATAAACAGGTAAATGGTGAAATATGTATGGCACCCTGGATATAATAAAGAATATTATGTAAACGTCCTTATGACCCAGTAACTAGGTTACATTGTTGGTTTTGACATGACTGTTAAGATATGATGGTGTAATATTATCCTGGAGTGACATGATGGTACTGTACTTCTCTGTTGGAGTGTGTCAGTGTTTTGTTGATCTGTGCTGTGATCTGGTTTCAGGTCTGCCTCTGGCTCCGGCTGCTGTAACCTCCAGCTCTGGGAACCCGTGGGTGTCTGTGCTCTACACCTGGGGTCTGGTGCAGGTATAGGGAGCTGTGTCTTTGGATGTTATTTCTGTGACACATGATATAAAGAGTAAGAGTGTGTGTGTGTGTGTGTGTGTGTGTGTGTGTGTGTTGTAGTGTACACTGTTTGCAGGACAACTGAATGTGATTGCTGGTATTGTGACAGTGTTTTACCTGTTAGCGTATGCAGCGGTTGATTTGGCTTGTCTGGCTCTGGAATGGGCTTCTGCTCCAAACTTCAGGTACTGTTCAAAGTATGTGTGTGTGCATTTTATAAGGTCATTTTGATTTTTGCTCAATTTAATGCATCCTTGCTGAGTAAAAGTATTAATTTCTTTATTAACAATATTGTAAGTGTCTGTCTCTATATTTGTCTTTTTTCTTCTCTCTTTCCAGGCCAACATTTCAGTTTTTTTCTCTTGGCACACGTTTGTTGGGCATTGTAAGCTGTGTGGTAATGATGTTCGTGATAAACCCAGTGTATTCCTCAGCCAGTATTGTGCTGCTGCTGCTCCTCCTACTGTTCCTGCACTACCGCTCTCCCACCAGCAGCTGGGGCTACATCAGCCAAGCACTTATCTTCCATCAGGTACCTTCACACACACACAAAGCACACGTGAATGCACTGAACTTTAAATCCATGGTTGGTCTTTCTGTGCTGCTTTCAGGTGAGGAAATACCTTCTGATGTTAGACTCCCGTAAGGATCATGTAAAGTTCTGGCGGCCTCAGGTCTTACTGATGGTGGCGAACCCACGCTCCTCCTGTCAGCTCATCTGCTTCGTCAACCAGCTAAAGAAAGGAGGGCTGTTTGTTCTTGGGCATGTGCAGATTGGAGATCTGGGTAGGACAACAGGGGTATTGGGGTTAGGGAGCAATTTAATGATAGAACCCAAGTTTGACAAGGCATATCGAGCAAAGATTGTCAGTTACCACATATGCATTTTATGACCACATAAAGTGTGTTCTCTTGCTTCTTAATCTCTTGAAGTGTACAGAAAGGCTGTGTTTGTGTTTACATGATGTTCCAGAATGCTGCTTTCTGCAAAATCTCTGGACTAATCCATTTCCTAAGTGCATGTAAGCAGGGTCATTGTTGCTATGTGGGGCTGGTTAGGATGCTTAAAGAAAGCAGTGTTTTGATAATATCACCGTCACGGCGTTTTTACACTTTGCAAGGACATCAAGCTTCCATTGACCATGAATAGTTGTCTATAGAAATCTAATTTAAGATGGGAGAAATTTTATTCTTTTCTTATTTGAGCAAATCCACCACAAGGCCTGATGATGATTTCTGTTTGCTTGTTTTATTTTTTGCAGCTAATGTGTTTTTCTTCTCATTCCATTAATCTGGTCATTTTAATCAGTGTGAACTCAGGCTCACCCACCTCCATAAGATGACTTGCTTCCTTGTTTTTTTATGATTAAATGAGTTTATGATCTTAAAGGTATAGTTTACCAAAAAATATTTACTTACCCTCATGTCATTTCAGACCGGTTTGACATTTTCTTCTGCAAGAATTAAAGAAGATGATTCTGAAGACTGTTAAGGGATATTTCACACAAAAATGAAAATTACCATATGATTTACTCACCCTCAATGCATCCTATGTGTATATGACGACTTCTTTCAGACGAATCCGATCAGAATTATATTAAAAAAAAAATGTCCGGGCTTTATAATGGCAGTGAATGGGTGTTATTTTTAAATGGTCCAAAATAAGTCCAATAAAGCGCATCCATCCATCATAAAAAGTGTCCCACACAGCGCCGGGGGGTTAATAAACGCCTCCTGAAGTTAATTGATTAATTTTAGTGACCGTTGGCTTTCATTATATGGACAAAAAACACTGAGACATTTCTCATATCTTTTTCATAACAGCATTGCCATTTTTGAGTGAACTGTACCTTTAAGATTACTAAACAGCCCTTCTGCTGTGAATCCATTTTACTTTCATGTTGTTGCACACTGATTGTCAGAATAGAAAGGGTCACATGATCAAATGTAATCTCTCTCTCAGATGTGTTGCCAGCAGACCCGGTGCAGCCACAGTATAATTTCTGGCTGAGTCTAGTGGATAAGTTGGGTGTGAAGGCCTTTGTGGATCTGACTCTCTCTCCGTCTGTCAGGCAGGGCACTCAACATCTGCTCCGCATCACTGGACTAGGTGAGACATTTCCTTATCGCGTCATCTTTACGGCACAGAGCCAGGAAACACCATTTAGACTACATGACTACATCTTTATTGTTATTGTACAAAGTACAAGTACATATCTAGTGAAATAATACAGTAAATACATTATTGTAGTGTTTTCAACACTGTTTGTGTAAGAGCTCAGCTAGTTCAGAGATGGCATCTGCTCCACAATGTTACAAATCGTAGTGTATATCCTTAATCATTTCTATTTATTTTTTAATTTATCCTTTATTTAAGCAGGAAATTTCCATTGAGATGCAAGATCTCTTCTTCCAGAGAGTCCTAGTCAAGACGGCAGCACATAGTTTCACATAAAATTACCATATGATTTACTCACCCTCAATGCATCCTATGTGTATATGACGACTTCTTTCAGACGAATCCGATCAGAATTATATTAAAAAAAAAATGTCCGGGCTTTATAATGGCAGTGAATGGGTGTTATTTTTAAATGGTCCAAAATAAGTCCAATAAAGCGCATCCATCCATCATAAAAAGTGTCCCACACAGCGCCGGGGGGTTAATAAACGCCTCCTGAAGTTAATTGATTAATTTTAGTGACCGTTGGCTTTCATTATATGGACAAAAAACACTGAGACATTTCTCATATCTTTTTCATAACAGCATTGCCATTTTTGAGTGAACTGTACCTTTAAGATTACTAAACAGCCCTTCTGCTGTGAATCCATTTTACTTTCATGTTGTTGCACACTGATTGTCAGAATAGAAAGGGTCACATGATCAAATGTAATCTCTCTCTCAGATGTGTTGCCAGCAGACCCGGTGCAGCCACAGTATAATTTCTGGCTGAGTCTAGTGGATAAGTTGGGTGTGAAGGCCTTTGTGGATCTGACTCTCTCTCCGTCTGTCAGGCAGGGCACTCAACATCTGCTCCGCATCACTGGACTAGGTGAGACATTTCCTTATCGCGTCATCTTTACGGCACAGAGCCAGGAAACACCATTTAGACTACATGACTACATCTTTATTGTTATTGTACAAAGTACAAGTACATATCTAGTGAAATAATACAGTAAATACATTATTGTAGTGTTTTCAACACTGTTTGTGTAAGAGCTCAGCTAGTTCAGAGATGGCATCTGCTCCACAATGTTACAAATCGTAGTGTATATCCTTAATCATTTCTATTTATTTTTTAATTTATCCTTTATTTAAGCAGGAAATTTCCATTGAGATGCAAGATCTCTTCTTCCAGAGAGTCCTAGTCAAGACGGCAGCACATAGTTTCACATAAAAAAAAAAATTGGCATAAAAACATCACAAAAAGTACTCTGAGAATACAGCATGTTTCCTTTAGAGCAGTTTGTAAGATAACGAAGTTATAAAGTTATAAAAAATGTTAAATACTTGTATGCAGATAAACTTGTAACTTGTAAGTTTATCTGAACATAATCTTGAGTTGACTAAATGAGCACTGCTATCACATACAGGTGCATCTCAATAAATTAGAATGTCGTGGAAAAGTTCATTTATTTCAGTAATTCAACTCAAATTGTGAAACTCGTGTATTAAATAAATACAATGCACACAGACTGAAGTAGTTTAAGTCTTTGGTTCTTTTAATTAGGTGGGTTTTTGTTAAATGTGAGCCAAAATCATCACAATTAAAAGAACCAAAGACTTAAACTACTTCAGTCTGTGTGCATTGAATTTATTTAATACACGAGTTTCACAATTTGAGTTGAATTACTGAAATGAACTTTTCCACGACATTCTAATTTATTGAGATGCACCTGTGCTGTAGATTTTCTGATAAATCGCATTCTTCTTTTAAACATATTTTTGTTGCTGTCTGTACTCGGTGTGATGCACTAAAAAGGCAAGTGTATGGCGAAATAATGGCAAGAAACAACTTTCTATTGACTTTTTTTTTTTTTTTTCTTCAAGTTGCATGCAAAAACAAACATGGCGAGACAGGTGCAGCCAGATTGACAAACAAATGACTCCTATGAGCTGGTTCTTTTTCGATGATCAAAAACATGCAAAACAACTGTAGCCTAATAGATGAATAAATTACTCTTATGAGATTATTCAGAAACATGCAGCACAAATAGTGTAGCCCATTTCACAAACAAATGACTCTAATGAGCTAGTTCCTTATAATGAATCAAAAACATCCAAAACCACTGTAGCCTCACTAGTAAACAAGTGACTCCTGTGAGCTGGTTCTGTTTCACGATTCAAAAACATACAGCTTGACCAGTATAGTCCAATTCACAAACAAATAACTCTCATGTGTGGTTCTTTTTAGTGAATCAAAAACATACAGTGCAACTAGTGTAGCCTGATTTACAAATTATTTGTATGGGCCATTTCTTTTAATGAACACTTTAAATGTGTCTGAAATACTTCTCTGTTTAATTTGCAGCATTAGCATATAGAGAATTTCTTTTTGTAACAATTTGTAGTCAAAATGGACACTTAGAATGCAATTAAAATTGGAAAAGAATCAAGAGTTTGAGAGTTAGAATCAAAGTGTATTAGAATGTATTTCCTTTTCAGACCATCATTTTGTATCTTCTTTTCCAGGAGGCATGAAGCCGAATACCCTGGTCTTGGGCTTCTATGACAACTGCTATCCAGAGGACTACTTCCTGCAGGACCCTGTCTTTTGCGAGGGGGATAATTTCGGGGTGGACCTTCCATCCTTACAGGCTCACTTTCCACCCGTGCGCCACGCCGAGAGCCCTCGCGCTCTGCAGCCCGAGGAGTATGTGAGCATCATCCATGATGCCATAAAAATGGGCAAGAACGTTTGTTTAGGCCGCTACTTTTTCCAGCTGCCGCCTGAGAGCAAAGGTGTTGCATACATAAGGGGAAATGACAATATGGACACCGTTGACGTGTGGCCGACAAACCTACTGTCCCCAGGCAGTGCCAGTTACGCAGACGTGTCCAGTCTTTTCCTGCTTCAGATGGCGTGTGTGTTAAACATGGCCAACAGGTGGCGCCGTGCAAGCTTACGTATATTTGTCTGTGTGGCATCAGAATCGGGAGACCAGGGCTGGCTGGCCAATGAGGAGCAGTTTAGAGAGTTGCTGGGAATGCTGAGGATTCGTGCCGCCATTAAGATTGTGGCATGGGATAACGTGGCACGCATGTTTAGAGGGCCAAATTCAGAGTCTCAAAAAGTGTCGGAGGATTTCCTGTGTGCCGTGAACGCCTTGCTGAGAGAACACAGCTCTACGGCAGCAGTCCGCTTCCTGTATTTGCCCCATCCTCCCTCCAGTTCTGAGCTGTCACAGCAGTACCTGACGCAGCTGGATACGCTGACGCGAGACCTGGGCCCAACTCTCTTGATTCACGGGGTCACACCTGTCACATGTACTGAACTCTGAGAAACAATAACCAAAACATGTTTGTGTGATAGAGAGGAACATCTGACATGTTAGTGAGGGGACTACAAGTGTATTTGATTCCTAATATTCTCAAATGGCGGATGATTTTGAGGACCATATTTCATAAATTGGTGAATTATGTGCTCTTGGTGAAAATGTTATTTAAAAACAGATGGATGGAGTTTGTGTTATTGGTGAAAACTGCCGAATCATCGTGCGCAGTTATTTTTGTGTTCTCCATGCGCCTCTGTCTGTTCTCATTAACAGTAAGTTTAGAGTTGGTGGAAAGTGAGTGCTTGCATATCCTGTGATCCATGTTTATGTGTTTGTGAAAAGTGTGAAGTGACATGTGGCCAAGTATGGTGACCCATACTCGGAATTAGTGCTCTGCATTTATCCCATCCAAAGTGCACACACACCGTGAACACACACCCGGAGCAGTGGGCAGCCATTTTTTTGCTGCGGCGCCCGGGGAGCAGTTGGGGGTTCGGTGCCTTGCTCAAGGGCACCTCAGTCGTGGTATTGAAGGTGGGAGAGAGCGCTGTACATTCACTCCCCCCACCTACAATCCCTGCCGGTACGAGACTCGAACCCACAACCTTTGGGTTACGAGTCCAACTCTCTAACCATTAGGCCACGACTTTATATAGTGCAAGATGCAATATGGAAAAAATAATGTTTGACTAGTTAGGATGGAAAGAGTTTGTCTTAAATGAGATGTGGTTACAGTTGCACTGTAATAGGGAAAAGTGAATCTGTTTACTCTCTTTTTGTTTGCTTTTTGTTATTGTAATGCACTGTTGGAGAATTTTTTTTAATCATTTCTGCTTTTTCTTGATCTAAAACAGACCCTTTGGTCCCCTTGTGACCCAGTTACAGCTTGTGAGCCATTGAGGAGCCCTTGTGGGTTTGGGTCCTTGTTGGTGTCATGGCAGAACTGCTGCTCTCAGCTTTCCAATTAGAGCACTTGAATTGAATTTGTGCATTCATAGTTTATTTACTGTCAATTACTGGGCATTTATATAGACATGTTATTTATTATTATTACATTTTTGTGTGTGTGTGCGTATGACAAAGTCTTCTTGTGCACCTGTGTTCATTAGTAATTCTGGATTTCATATTGTGGGCCTCAAGAAATTCCCCTGACCATTTGCATTGCCTTTTTACATCCTGTTGATTTTGTGTGTTTCTTGCCGTTTTTACAGTTCAAAGGCTCTTTGTGCTTATGATCATGCTGTCTGGGTTGAAGCGGAGCAGGGAGCTCATGAACAGATGATGTTTGTGTTGAGACTGCTGGTCTTTGTCAACTGAAAAGGGACACTGGCTAAAATAATACTTGAATATTTTGCACATTTGCGTGTGTGTTAACTTAAGCATTAACAAAAACACAATGCCAAAGTCCAAGAATGTCAGGCCTTTATCATATCTGTAATAATAAGAGACTTCTACTAAATAATAGATGTGTACAAGTAATTCCATTCTGTACATTTATTATATATATAAAAAAGTTTTTAACAGTGCTTTCAGTATGCAAAAATCACTTTACACAATCCAGTTTCCATATAATCTGAAGTATTTAGAAATCTGAGATCAGAAAACATTAAGGTGCATTATTAGCAATTTAGCTCAACAGGAAGTTCAGTTAGGATGTACTGCGGTTCCCCAGCACTATATACAATAGCTGAATGTAGAGTCTGTAAACAGAAGACTGTCATTATATTTCCGTCTTCTTTTTTCTTCATTGCCTCTTTCTTTATGCTAATTATAATGCTGTTCCTTCAGTCTAGACTGAGTTTTCATGTCACATTATTGAAAAGCAATAAATACATGATGTATGTAAAAGTCATAGCCAATAGTATAAACTAGTGATTATAAAGTAGTTAATGTTCTTCAGTGCTATCCTATGGATATTTTTCACATTTCTTACTTGGACTTGGAATGCATAAAAAAAACAACAACAGCAGGATAAATAGAACAGCTTGGCGTAGGGAGGTAAAATCTACTGTCACTCCGTATTTGAAACTGCATGAAAGGCTCATCATATAATCATTAATTGAATCATTCATATGATGTGGTTAATTATTGCCAACACAACTAGACCTTTAAGCATCATAATTGGCATATCGCATTTCTAAACAAATGCTGATTCATTCAACACATAAAACAAAGGGAAAAATGATGCCCTTGTAACTAAAAAGATATCCATCATAAAAGGAATCTGCACTCCTTTCAAGATCTTGCTGTCTTTTGAAAATTCAATGTTAGCATTAATCATTAATTATTAAACTTTTGAACAGCAGTGTAAATATACATTACATTAAATAATATGCAGTTAAGGGAGGGAGAGTTAGATGTACCCTTTCTCAATTTACCCTACTGTAAATGCAAGTGTAAATGTCATTGAACTGAACCGTGAAAAGGGTCCATAGGTTCAGACTCCTGATTCTGATGCAAATACAAAATGTTAATTTTATATAGACCATAGATCTGCCAACTTACCCTAAAAATGTAAATGTCACTATGCATCTGTTTTCCTGTCACTGCAGTAAAAACTGTTTTTGTGTTTAGTTCTTACTGTTGATGCCATTATACGCATGTTTGTGTATCTGTGTGATTTTTATGTTCGTCTCTGTGGTCCACTGATTTGTGTCAGTGCTGTTTGTTTTTTGTCTCTGCCATCCTCTCCCTTAATTGGGGTTCAATGCTACGAGCAAATGTTGCCATGCGTTGCACACAAAAGGATGAGAGACGCAGCCAGCCCGGGAAAAAAATGGACAGTGCAAAGTGCTGAAACCACAAAGGGTGGTAAGTTATCAATCCATAACATATTCATACTTCTAAATTATTGAAATAAAAAAAAAATGTATAGGACATTACAACACGAACCCTGTATGTTTATATAGTACAAACTGTTGAGATATGTATTGAGAAGAGGGTAAAAATTGTTATAAATCTGCTATCCCACATTATACAAACTGATTGTGAGTGGTGTTTACCTGCAGTGCATGAGTTAAACATCCGCTTGTGTATGTTGTGTAACCCACAGTGTTCAGAGCATCTCTAGCAAATGAAACAGCACTTTTCACCAGTGGATTCACAGGCACATTATGAGTCATATTAGTGGAGACCATAAACGGGGCCACACACTGGACAAAGGCAGAGAAACGACATCAAGGTTTGGCAAAAAAAAATAATAATAATGCAAGATGTTTACTAGTACTGGACTTACTTGAACCGTGATTCCTTTTGACCTGTATTCTGCATGCAGACAGCGAGCGAAATATGTTACAAATATTTAGGTGTAAGAGAAGAGGAAGACACTTGACTTTAGTTGTTATTTTTGTGTGTTATTCTGTAAGGCTGCATGAAATTAGTTTTGTGTGTAACAAAGATATGTACCTTAGTGGCAGAATACACCGACAGCATTGGCTGGGGCTGAGATGCAGCTTCTGATGATATGTTTATAATGAGGCCTTTCCCCCTGACAGCAAACACAAGCCCTCAGTTAAAGCATAAACACAGTTTTCATAATAAACAGATATGATCAGAGCCGGCTATGTGTTTACCTTTCAAGCATGCCTGGCAAAATGAGTCTGCTCATCTACAAAACAACAACATTGTCATCAACATCACTGTTGTCGTCGCCACCAAATTCTTATTGTCATTAGAATCACAGATCAATGTGCCACAGTAATATTGATTAACATTACAGTTTAAAATGTGTTTTTATATTTCCTTCAGAAATGATTCTAATATGCTGATTTGGTGCTTGAGAAATATTTCTTATTATCAGTGTTGAAAACAGTTGTGCTGCTTAATATTTTTTGTGGAAACCATAATACACTACCATTCAAAAATTAATTTAGTATTAAAATGAATAGAAACTAAGCTGTTTTCAACATTGATAATGATATGCACCATTAATAATTGAGCACCAAATACGTATATTAAAATTATATCTAAAGGATCATGTGACACTGAAGAATGGAGTAATGGCTGCTGAAAATTCAGCTTTACCATCACCAGAGGTAATTACATCTTAAAATATATGAACAAATAGAAAACTATTATTTTAAATTGTAATCATATTTCACAATCAAATAAATGCAGCCTTGGCATAAGAAACATACAAAAAAAACTTATTTCGAAATTTTGACTGGTAGTGTATGTATGTATTTTTATATGTATGTAGCTTATAAGTTATTTGATTATCTATAACATATAATATGTATCCATTTTTATATCCATATTCATCTACAGGGGCTGGACAAAATAATGTGAACATCATTACAGGGGTTAATATTGTGTGTGTAGGCTGCAGTAAAAAACAAACAAACGTTGCAATTATCTTTTATTTATCTTTCCATTGTCTATACGCTCTAGGTTGTATATCAGTATAAGTTGTGCGCAGCAGTGTTTAGTAAGCCATGGGTCAAATCGATGACTTGTTAGACTTACAAAAAAGACAAATCACGGGAACGTCTGTTAATGGCCCAGTTGTTTGGTGTCTTTATAATTATGATTGCCATCAACAAAGCATGGCAAGACTTCAGCGTGATTGAATGATAGGAACGGTCGAGTACTAAGAAATATTGTGTCCAAACAACAGAACTACTACTGCAAAGTGACAGCAAACTTCAGCTTTCACCTTGTACACTCTCTTTCCACAAAAAAACCCAACCACAGGGCACTTTACAAAGCTAACATACATGAAGGAGCTGTAATTGCTAAAACTTTCATCATGAACACCAATGCTAAAATGTGAGCAATATGATCAGAAAACCTCGGCGAATGGAGCTCCAAGATGACCTTCAACATCCGCCCTGGCCTTTTCAATCACCTGACTTTAAAGGGGTCCTATTATGCATTTTCACTTTTTCAACTTTAGTTAGTCTGTAATGTTGCTGTTTGAGCATAAAAAAGATCTACAAAGCTCAAAGTCCACTTCAAAAGGAGATATTTTATTTAACAGAAATCACTTTTCTGTACAACTACAACGAACGACTCGTTTGGACTACAACGCATATTTTCCGAATGGGACGCCGATCAGGCGCCGAGTGCTGCCAATCACAACACACACTGGCCCAGCTAACCAATCATAGCACATTTTATATTTCAGAAGGCGGGCCTTCATTTGATACAGGAACTATTCGAGCCGTTCATGCCAGACTGGGGAGAGAGGTGTTGTAATAATGTAAAATATATGAAAAATAATGTGTTTTTCGAACAACCTATGAGAGCCTGTTCTAGTACACCCCCAAAACAAAATCAAGACTTTGTAAAAGAGCATAATAGGACCCCTTTAATATGATCAAATTCCTGTGGCCAGTTTTGGAGAGAAGATTAAGAATCTTCCCTCTTCCAACATTTCTGAAGCAATTGGCAGATGTTTTTTTTTTTAGACAACTTTCAATTGGAGGCCATTCAAAGGTTATATGAATCTATTCAAAGAAGGTAGTAAGCTGTATTAAAGGCAAATTGTGGTGACACACTTTAATAAAGAAATATTGCTTATTTGCCAGGCATTCACATTATTTTTTCCAACCTCTGTATTGTTTTTTTTACATATGCACACAAAGGACACAAAATGGCACACATTTTGTAAAAGAGCCTATGTATGCTGCTATGTCAAGATGATATTTAAGATGACAAATATATGGTATAACAGGCCGTGTGTAAACAGGTTCACATACAGATAGTCTTACCTGAGTGACGGATAGTGTGTTACAGTTTATCACCTCTGTGATTCTCTGGAGACAGAAAAAAGTACTTAATGTAATAGACACTTTCATACAATGGATTCAGATTACAATAGAGTAGAAAGTCAAGCTGTGTGGTGTAGAAAAGCTGAGTCAGACCTGGTCTGGATCAGGAACATCCCAAAAATTTGCCAGAACCCCTATATAGTTCATACCTACATTGTTCACTACAGAGAAAACAGAATAAATTAATAATAGATATAAATAAATGCAGACTGAATTATCCTGTACAGTGTATTGAGTGTGTTTTATCATACTAACTGTTGATAGATCTACTACAAGTAGAAAATAAGCAGGGAAAAACAGCAGCTGTGACTTGACTTGAAATAATGAGATAGAGGGGAGGGTAAATACTCTTACTCCTAATCACCAGTAATGATGAAGATGATGCTAGGGGGAGGAATTACCAGATATACAGAAAATGAGTAGCTGGCATTTAATTAAAATTTTCAGTTTTGATTTTCAATTGCAATTGTGCAGCACTTTTCACAATACACACTTCAAAGCAGCTTTGAAGTCCACTTGTAGTGCCTTGTAGTCCACTGACATTACTGACATTGAAGTGTAGTCATTTGTATACTGTAGAAGCAGGTACAGTAGCAATAAAAAAGGATTTAAAAAATGGTAATGTAAAACTAAATTATGATGGTTTTTGGTTCCAGAAATGAAAAACATTTATTCTATGGCCCCTATAAGGCTTACCAAAATTCATTTAATTCTTTTGCACCATCTTCACTGTTTTACACATCATTGTTGATCTTTATCTTACCCAGAATTCCGATCTCTAGGCCCTCTAGCTGTTGTGTGATAGCAGAGTAGATGGAATGGCCCTCTGTGAAGTCTGTCTGAATCAGATGTGTCTGGCGCTTGTACCGGGATTCTGAAACAAACACATTCAGATTTATACTTTTTGCTCTGTCTAAATGTATGAAAATAACGCTGTTTTCCCACATAAAACTAGTCTGGCTAGAAGAACACAGACTAGAGATAGATCACAAATGAGCTGAATATTAGACCATTCTTTGAGCAGCATATTTGCAAATATGGTTCATGACATTTAAAAATAGGGCCATAACATTTTACAGTTGTATCATTCCAAACTCTTAAAGGGGTCATATGATGCGATTTCAATTTTTCCTTCATATTCTGTTACACCAAATACACAAAATAATGATCTTTAAAATAGCATCATATGACCCCTTTAAGAAAATGTGGTTGAGGTCTTGCGTACAAACGGATTTGTCTCTGTTCTGATCACTTCGAGAAGCTACATTTTTCATCTTGACTTCTACTTTGTAACTCACCTATTTCCTTGGCTACACTGCGAAGCTTGTCATCCGAGCGACTGATCAGAACAATGTCTAATCCTCGTTTGGCAAGCTAAGACACAAATACATCCTCAAAGATAAATGTGTATGTATATAGAGGAAATAGGAAGAATAGTAATTATTGCCATGCATTTCAACAGATTTTTATCCACGGAATGAAAGTCACTGAGTCCAATATTGTTTTGGACCCCATTAACTTTCATTGTGTAGACAATAACAGTTCCAATAACAGTGTTAATAACTTGTGGAAGTCAATCACAGGAGTCCCTCTTATTCTCTGTTAGATATGCAGGAGCGCAAACACATTGTAAACAGACATACTTACTCCTTCACTGAGGACAAGAACAACACACTGTGGCGGCCAAGAGAGGCCCGGATTTTAATCTGATAACATACCACATCCGTGCAGATTTTGGAAAATGGAAATTACTAGTGCGTCTGGATACTTCAGACTAGTTGATTATGGCAATTCGCCTATATTGTCAAATGCTGCATTTTAATGACAATTATAGCGCAAACTTGACATTTCTTGACTTAAAGCGAAGGCTAAAGCCATGTTAGAACACCAAAATCAGTAAAATATTGCATGTTGTAGCATAGAGGAAATATGCAACTTACTCGGATAAAAAAACTACAAAGATCTGCAGTGAATTTTTTTTAGTATCAAAACGGATGCTATTAAACTCCCACATAATTAATGTTTTCAAAAAAGAGAGTTATTTACTGACCTCTTCAGCATATGCATGACCAATCCCTGATGTTGCTCCAGTTACAACTGTGAGAGACAGGAAGGTTTAGTGAAATATCTCATCCTTCCTGTTCTATTGTCAGTTATCATTTGATCACCCAACTTCAACCACTATTTCTGTCAGGACCACTATCGTCATAGATGATTGACAATTAGCATACAGTTTGGATTGGCGGTATGGTTCTGTTCTGGGCAAGAACTCCCTGCGCCTCCATGCAGCCTAGCATGGATGAGAGCAGGGAGAGCAGCGATAACCCCCCCAGGGTAAACAGAACAGAACTAACATAAATGTATTGCAGATATTGTTAAAGTTCAATCATTTTATGTACACATTTTAGAATTAGTCTGATTCAAGGAGAATCAGAAGGCTGAATCCCGACTGACAGAGGAGGAGTTGGGGATGGAGGAGGGTAATTAGCTATTGAGCAATGCGAAAACTGCTGACAATACTGAGGGACCTTATATATGAATGCTTAGATAGGTGTCGTAGTCCCATAGGTAGATGGGGATCAGCTGAAGGTCAGCTGATGCGAGCTTGACTAACGTGACCTGCCAGAACTAACGCTACGCTTGATAATTGTTTGTGTCTGATTTTTAAGGCTGTTTTGATTACGTCTGGAATCTGCACATTTTAAGTAAATAAGAAAAAGGCAGCAATGACGAGTTTCTGGCTATGCAGAATTGCAGATGCCCTGAGCAGAATGAGTACTGTACAACCAATGCAAAAGAACACCCCTGCAGAAAAAACAGCAAAGCAGGTCACAAGCACATGTTGTGTTTTGGACACTAGATGATGGTGTGACGCCCCCCATGCTATGTAACCACAAACATCTGTCTTGCTCCAGCAAGACCCTGCTGCATCACTTGCCGGCCTGCTGGACTCCCTGTGGTCCACCAGCTAATTAGCAGGATTCTGCTGGTTAAAGCATGGTCCACTAGGTGGGCCAGCAGAAAACCAATGCTGAGCGGTACAAACTGGCGCAAATGGTAATAGTTTTGTCAGCAAGATATATCAATCACTATCATCTAAGTCTAGATAAAAGAGACAAGTGACAAAACCTGCTACATTGACTTTATTCAAATAGAAATTCATGTTATGTTTCCTGGAAAGCTTTTCCTGTGTGTAGAGCAGTAGGCCATACATCAGATAATTTTACATTTGCATGAGAAAAAAATATTATTTTAGACAGCTCATATAAAACAATATTTTACTACAATTGAACACCGAAGTGGCAGTTCTGATGTTCAAAGAAATATACAATTTACTTCAGAAAAACTTATTTATGAAATCATCTTGATCAGAATTTTATGGCAAGCTGTTTTAACATGTATTTTTTTTTAAAGTTGTGTTTTTAAGATACTAATAATTATTTTAAAATTACTAGTACAATGTTATAATGACTAGTATCTTTTTCACTCTTATAATTAACTATTCATTGGATATGAATACTTATTACAGTAGTGACTAGCATCTGTTCAGCTGGTCACTAATGACAGCTTCACACAAAGACTAAAACTAAAATTAAAACAGGCCGCCAAAAACAACACTAGTCACTAGTAGTTATTCTTAAAAAATAGTAAGACATCAAAATGTTATTAGTAACAATTAGAAAAGATTTGCATTAATGGATAGTTGTATCTAATAAACTGAGAAATAAATAGTGCCTGATGATTAGTTGCTAGTAAAACTATAATGACTACCAGCGGCAACTGGAATGCACACTAGTTGGAAGTAAATAGTTAACATATTGTAGATATAACTCACTTTTTAATTTATTACCAGTAACATTGGTATATTAACTTGTCACTGTTATCACAAATAATTTAATTAAAAGCATTAATAGCATAATAATACATTTAGATGGTTAGTTAAAGGGAATATATGCTACAACAGTTTGCCATACCATTCATAGTGAAAGAAGAAGCAAATTATTAACTGGCACTAGTATTATTAAACGTGATCGGTTTATTTCTGCTCCTCATGCATCTGCACTAAACAGCAGATAATTTTATAATTACATAATAATCAGAAAGGAACCCACTCTTTGAAGAAAACCTTACCAGCCCATTGGCCATATGTCCTCAGGTCCGTTTGCCAGATCTCAGAGAGCACGTACACTTTGAATCCATGCCAACACTGCCAAGACCACCTCAGCAGGTAATACACAACCGTAATGGAACCGATGCTACACAACACCAATGAATACCAGCTCCACTCTGCAGTGTCTCTCGTCTTACTTCTTTGCAACTATACGCATTTCTGTCACACTTAATAAAATGAGCTTCTTCTGGGCATGCTCCAGAGTTGGGAATAAACTCCACACACATTCACAGGCGTCATTATATGCATGCTCCTCCCATGGCCGAGGCCTGTCTGTCATTGGTCAGCAGTATAGAATAGAACATCAGATCAGCCAAAGTGTAACTCCTCTTCGAAACAAACATTGTTCGTATTAACAGGTGAGAGGGCGTTATATACTCTCCACACCTCTATGATTATGTTGATCCTACGTGTGATTTTTGGGATATGTCTGTCATGTGGTCCGATCTGCCATTCACGTCAAAGTTCATCACTTACTAATGACATCCTGTTTGAACAATATATTACTGTACGGGACAGATAAAAAGCCATGTAGCATCCCCAGACTGTAGCCTTACTCATAGATATTAAATCACAAACAAACGCTGTCATTTCCTGATCATTTGTAAACATTAACAAGTGTATACAGGAACAACAGCCCAGAGTTGTGTAAGCTGTGCAGCACAGGAGTAGATGACAGTTTAATATTTAGAACATGCCGGTACAGCTTGTTAGAATCGTTCGTTTATGTTTCTGTTTACAAACACAAGATCGACATTCTCAGCCTGGTCTTGTGCGCATGTTAGTTCTGAGATATTTTAAACGGTTACAATGTATTAAATAACAATAGGCCTAGCTGTGTAGTTAAATACAGAAATCAATTCTTTAAAACACCCAAAAGAAAAGAAAAACTTGATTGTCGCAAATTGTTTTTGAATACAAAGATAAAAGGTGGGAGACTAGAAATAATCATTATCTTGGGAAAAGTGCAATGAAATATTAAAGTATAATGCAAGAATAAATACAATATGCAATGCATTTTTTAGTTTTGTAAAATAAATCACTGCTGTATTTTTTTTTATCTTATTAAAAGTTATAATATTACATATTTTTAAGATGGGAGTATTAAAGTATTTGACTTTCATTTAAAAACACTGACCAAGTAAAAAGCTATAACTAACATTTTTAAATGCAGCTCATGTCACATAAAAAAGACCTCTGAATACCATTCTGCCCTCCATATGACAGCTCTAAGCTGAACAGACAATAAATCTTGCACTAACTGTTGGTGTCAGTTAAAGTGATCCCACCCTGTCACATAATCAGTGAGAAAGAAAGGTCATAGAGGGTTGTGCTTAAGATTAGTGAGTAAAGACAAAGTGAAAGTGAAAACTGTGGTATTCCCCTTCATTTGAGTTGTGCTTACAGACAGGAACACAGCTTCCTGGCACAGACAAGTGTTGAGTTTGGTGTGTTTATGATCTGCCAGTGAAGAAGATATTTGTTTGCTTTAATTATTATTATTATTATTATTATATTGGCCTTTTACTGACTGATTTGAAAACTGTGCTCATGTTGTTCACCAGTGGCTTACTATTACGTTACTTTAAGTGACCAGTAACTCATATTGTTCACAGGTTTCTCTGTCGATCTGTGGATGTGGAACAGCAGACTTTAAAACATGACCAGTCCAAAGGTAGAACTGTTATTTTCATTTTATTTTCATGAATTTGTAAAAACTACCCACATTATGACAGCGTACTATAGGAAAGAAAAGAGATCTATTCATTTAGAAGATTTTAGCATCTATTTAACATCTGTTTTTCCAAAAGAGGATACCGCAATATACTGCAACCTGTTGTTAGTCAAGTTATGCTCTGATACAGTTCATTTTATACAACAGTTCAATAAGAAAATAACTTTTATATAATAACATTTATAATAACATTTATATAATAACATTTTAGACAGAACAATTGCAGAATATTGTTTTTTTATAGTTCCAAACAATTCTGACCAAATTAATCACTGAATCTCCTTCCAACACACAGTAGCATCGTTAATAAGGATAGACTGAGTGAATGATTCAATGACTAACTTATAGTGACAAAAGTATTTTGTCGCCACCTACTGGCAATGATTTAACTTGTCTGTCTGACTTGCAGTGTCCTGGCTGTCAGCGATCTGATATCAGAAAGTTGGATGGACAGCGAGCAGTCTGCAGAACTTGTTCTAAAGCAAAGAGGTGCGTGTTTCAGTTCTGCTGGGCGTGTCAGAGGGAGTGGCCATGCAACGCTTCGACCACCAACTCCTGCATGCTGCCGAACTGTGCACTCCGTGCTGCCCTCCTCAGCGTCAAACAGATCAGTGACCCGCAAAGCTCAGTGAATGGATGCCCGTACTTCAGGGCCTGTCTGGGATGCCAGGCCCTATTAACACACAATGGTGAGGGCTGCCCTAACATTATTTGTCCCCACTGTGACAAGGAGTTCTGCTTTCGCTGCCTGCGTCCAGAATGCTACGACGATGAATATGATGATGATGATGATGATCCTGACACAGAGCCCTGTGTGATAGTGGATAATGCTGAGATCATCAAACATAAGGGACTCTAGTGAATGAGTATAAACTATTAAAAATAACATTTATTTTCACAAGAGAATAAATATAAAAAAAAAAAACTTTCTGTTTTTGTCTTTTCTTATAAAGCCAGAGATAAAGAAATTAATATTTGGAACAAACTGTAAACGTGATGTTTTTTTCATTCTCATTGTAAAAGCTCCAAGTCAAGTCACCTTTATTTATATAGCGCTTTATACGATACAGAGTGTGTCAAAGCAGCTTTACAGTGTTAAACAGGAAAAACGTGTGCTGCTAATGCAAGAGGACAATAGAAAACAGTCAGTTTATCAATTAAAGTCAGTTCAGTGTATTTCCAGTGTATTATTATTATTATTTTTTTTTTTTCCAGAATTGAAAAGTACCAGAGAACGTGATCTGTGATCAAGTGGTCAGAACCAGAATATAAGAGACGGTCCTCACTGCAGAACACAAGATCCAGGGGGCGTGGTTGGATCCAACTCCTCCAGATCCAACCCCTCCCACCTTACATATACCTAAACCTACCCGTCTCCACCCCCTGATCCCTAAACCCACCCATCTCCACCCCCTAGATGTGGATCCAACCACGCCCCCTGGATCTTGTGTTCTGCAGTGAGGGGCTACTGGAATATAAAGGGAAGAGGGAGGCCGAGCAAGCTGGCAAGCGTTTATTTTCCACTTTCATTCACTGACCAGCAGATGGCGCTATATAAACCTAAATCACCAATCATTTTGTAATCGCTGGCTAAATTAATCGCTAAAAATTATTAGTGGTTTGCAAGAAAAAAATAGCTAACGAACGTTAAATTCAGTATACCTTTTTCAGGTGAAAATTAATATTTTGGAAGACTGCCAATAGGGGTATCTTTTTATTCTGTTGTTTTTCCGCCTATAAACAGAAAGTGAAAGACGTAGGACTTTTGGTATTCCCCTTCAATCTGTTCTCACGGGAAACGAATACTAACATTTTGTGTCTCTTTGCACAAAGAAGTGGATAGAATAGTGTGCTGGTGTCCAGTAAGTAGGCTACTGTTTTACATTTTGTCCATTTTACTATCTTCATACATTCTGTAGTAATTGTCCCTTTAACTGCAGACAGAGTTAAGACTATTTGAATTCACACTTGTAGGAAGGAATATTGTTTTCTTGTTGGCAGAGACATATTGATTCTAAAAATGCATATTATTATGTTCTTTAATTATATTAATGTTTATTGTTTACATTAATGTTATTAATGTTATTGGTAAATTGTCATACTAATTCTCATTGGTTGGTTAGGATGTTGATCCAGAAACATGTTGTACTTGGTGAAATCACGCTCACCAGTGCGTAACTGTGAGGCACAGTGTCCTCAGTTTCCCTGTCAGCACAGTTCTCTTTGTCTTCCTTACTTACTTTGTTTTCCTTACTAATCGGCTGACCCTCGTCTACTCTCTCTCTCTCTCTCTCTCTCTCTCAGGTTTGTCCATCTGTGGAAGTTGTCCAGGAGGATTGAGCTATGAACGTTCCAAAGGTAGATTGACCGCGCGAGATTTTTGTGATCCATCAAGACGTCAGACATTTCGCGCAAGCTATTTTCAGGCACTTGTTCTAACAGAATACTATAGGAGGGAATTAAGCTCTTAGACTTTATTTAGCACACTATGTCAAGGTGTCTGATTAACTGTGACGAAGTTTTCCACTGATAAGTGTCTAGAAGAGCCTTCCTGGGTTAAAACTTTTAGGATCATTGAGCTATTGCTCAATCATTTTGGTTAGCCTATATTTGAGATGTGAAATGTACCCCTATGGCTACTAGTATAAGATTAGCCCTATTAAATTTGTTATGAAGCTATGACGCTGTTGAATGAATAATGATGTAACTGTGTAAAGCTTAATGTGTGATGTTTACTGTACTTCAGTACTGTACTTTTGAAACAAAATGTGTACTTTTACTCATTTATAACTGATTACATTGGGAAAATATCAGACAGTTTTTTTTATTTCCCAGAATATAATTTACACCTTCAAGTACATATTTTACTGGTCATTATGTGTATATTTAATGCTAAATGAAAAATGTTAAGACCTACCCTCTATAAAGGAATAACTCACTGTTAAACATGTTATTGTAAATATTATATATTTGATATTAGTAGGCCTATTGTTATTATACTAATAAATATTCCAGGTAAAGGTGCAGTCATTTTTACTTGGGGGTGAAAAGCAAGTGGAAGGAATCTGTGGAGTCTCTCTTTTATTTTATTTTGTGATAATATCTCACCAATTCTTTCCCTCTTTCCAGTGTCCCAGTTGTCATCAGTCTAATGTCGGAGTTTTGGATGGTCAGTGTGCGGTCTGCAAATCTTGCTCTAAAGTGAAGAGGTGCGTGTTTCAGTTCTGCCTGGCGTGTCAGAGAGAGTGGCCACGCGGCACTCCGACCACCAATTCCTGCACACTACCGAACTGTGCGCTCCGTGCTGCCCTCCTCAGCAACACAAAAATCACTGACCAACACAGCTCGGTGAGAGGATGTCCATACTTCAGGGCCTGTCCAGGGTGCAAGGCCCTGCTTACACACAATGGAAAAGGTTGTCCCAACATCATCTGCCCTCAGTGTAACACACACTTCTGCTTCCGCTGCCTCCGTCAGTGTTGCCTTGGGATACAGAATATTGAAA